GTATATTATAGGGATTTTCTTATGCCCACAGATCAAGTCCTAGAGACATTATCACCAACGAAAATTGGGAAGGTTGTATTGGGCATTTTAAAATACCAACCGTCCTTCAATATGATGAAGACTTTAATGTGCAATCATGGGGATACATTGCATTAGCTCAAAAGCCAAATAAAAAGGTTGAAGAGTTCAAAAATAAACCTGCTGAATTATTTAAATTGTATTTAGGAAAATTAGCCAACAGACCTCCATTACCTGAAGGGTTGGACTATAAGAAAGCTATAATCGATTATTTATGTAAGATGGGCGAAAAGATTCGTGAAACTTTAAAACTACATTGGCAGCGTTTAGATGTGTTTAGTCAAGTTTTGTTCGTCCTCACTGTATGTATAATTTTATGGCATTTACTGTATCCGATATTGTAATTATATGTACGTGCGCACATTTTAGATTCCTGCGGAATTCGACGACCGTGATATCTCTGTGATGAGAGAATGTGCAGTCAATGCAAACTTGATAAATGATATGGATAGCCAGAATTTAATGTTCACAACAGAACGTAGGTCATTCTCTTCTTTCGACATTTTTATAATTTTATAGTAATAGATAATACATACATTGTTTCTTTAGCTGAGGCTGCGGCTGTACATTGCATTGACACATTAAAGGAGCATGAACTAGAGGTTGGTTCTACGTATATGATAGTAGATTGTGGAGGTGGTACCGTCGACTTGACTGTTCGAAAGTTTTTAATAAGCGAAAATTTGAGTGAATTAACTGAACGTTCCGGTGATTTTTGTGGTAGTACTTTTGTCGATCGCGAATTTCTTGAATTTCTGGGCCGGAAGATTGGTAAATCTAGTTTAGAATATTTAACCGAAAATCATTATCACTATCTTCAAAATCTGATCCAAGGTATTACAAATGATATTGATCTATATTGTGGAAATACAGTTCGGTTAGGTTCTCAATTTAATGTATTATATATTTATTACGCACTAAGAATTTGGTCATCAGGTTAAATCACCTTTCACTGGAGATCCTAGTACATTTGAATCTGTTGAATTTGACTTGGAGAAATTCTTTCCGAACATAAAAACAGCCGTAACCGGGAAAGAAAAAGAGTTCATGGAAAAAGAGGAATGGTTAATTGAACCGAAGTTTGAAGATGTAAAAGAAATGTTTGATCCCGTCATAGCTAAAATAATCACTTTAATATATGGTCAATTAAATGCTTGTAGAAATTGTTCTGCTATGTTTTTAGTTGGGGGTTTTAGTGAGTCGGAATATTTACAGATGAGAATTAAAGAAGAATTCAAACAAAAAGTAAATACTATTTCTGTTCCAACTCAACCAATAACTGCAATTTTAAAGGGAGCTGTTAAATTTGGACTCAAAGAAGATATTATATTAGATAGAGTACTAAAGTGGACTTATGGTAATCAGATATATAAATATGCCTAATACATGTTTTTGAATAACTTCTCATGAAAATTATGTTATTTCTTCCAAAGGAACACCCACTGTTCGCAAATGGGAATTTACTGATCCAGAAGACCGGATACTCTCGGGAGGATTAATAAAAACATTCCAAACTCTGGTTACTAAGGGCACACAGATTTCTATAAATGATAAAGTTATTAAAACTTTTATTCCAGCATCATTGGACCAAAAAAAAATGGCTTTTGATATTTATGTGACATCGAAGAACGATGCTAAATATTGTGAAGAAGATGGTGTTGAATTACTTGGAAGTTTTTTAATTGATTTACCTAGTGAGGGAGATTATAATGATAAGACTTTTCTATTTACTTTAGAATTTGGCAAGATTGAGATTTTAGCTACCGCTGAGAATAAATATACTCGGCAAAAACTTAAAAAAACATTTTTATTGGATATATAAACTTAAACTATTATCTTGTAAATATTACATTATTCATGATTTATAAAATTAAAAATATATAACAACTAATCAAATATTTTAGAACATATATTTGTAGCAACTTTGATTAAACTACTCTATGGTATACATCATCTTAAAACTTGCGATAGTGTTATATTTATTTTATCAAAATAGTGCAGGTTTCAAAAATGTAATATTTTATAGAACATAAAATGAAGATTATTTCAAACGAGCAATAACGCTTATTGTGCGAGAATTGCTAAAAAATCTTTAAAAGTATTTAAACCAAAGGCATATTACTTGAATACAAAATTTTTCCAGTGTTAGTAGTCGAGGCCTAAACTATCAATTAAACCTAGGTGCTGCGCGGCAAATTCACGATTTTGATGGCCAATGGCGACAATCAAAAATTTAGGTCGAAATTACTCAAAATTTTACTAACGCTAATGCTAATGAAATCGATAATTTTACATAAAACATACCGATACATTTGGGAATTAGAAAATTAAAAAAAAATCAATGCCGGCCAAAGTTATCTATAATGCGGGCCAATCTTTTGTCGATCACGGGAATCTGCCGCGCATTTTTTGCGTGGCGCCTAGGTTTAATACTATCAATTACCTTTTACAGGGCAATCTCCAAAATTTCATATCAGAATGCATCGGAGCTGGGCCAGCATTAAGCAATATTAGCCAATGTAAATATATAGCAAAATTATTATTACTCAAAGAATAGGCTATGAAAATCACCCTTCGACGGACAAACTTAGTCCAACATACCGGTTCTTACTTGCGGCAAATCATCATTTACCTTTATTAATTCAATAATTTATTCGATAAACTATTGAATCAGTAAAGACAAAAGATGATTTACCGAAATAAGAACCGGTATGTTGGACTAAGTTTGTCCGTCGAAAGGTGATTTTCATAGCAAAACTTCTGTCATTTAATAGTTAACTGTATTTATTATAAATTTTATTATAAACTTATATCATTATATATTTGAGCATTTTTATATAGGCTGTAATAATAAAACATATAATATATATGTAATTAGCGTTAATTAATAATCCATATAATTTTTATAACCTACTATAGATTATTTTCAGTGTTGGGTGTGGTCGGCTATAAATTTTGCTAGTCATTGGTCAAAGGGCTCTAGTCAAACTGGTCTGGTCAAATGGTCTAGCAATACTGCAATATAACAATCAGACCAATCAGGCAAATTTGATTATAATCAATTGGTCTGATTGGTTGATTTGTTCATATAACTAGACCATTTGGCCAACTAAAGATGCTTGACCGGACTGGTAATTGGTCAAATTGGTCTGGTCAGCCCAACACTGATTATTTTGTATAATAAATATTGATATGATTTTATAATCTTTTACTGTACTTTTGTGTAATATCATTTCGAATATGTATACTAGATTAAAAAGCCTGGTTGGGAGAAAATTGAATCTATAGTAACCAGGAGTGGCTGTTCGGTTCGGTTAGCAGGTTAGCCGGTTTATCTTTTTTCTCGGATTATACAGAAAATGTGCTAACATCGGATTATCAGTGAATATTCACATACCAAACTAAAAACAAACCTGTACGTACGGACGGAAAGCAAATTAGGATGGGCGTACGCAGAGTAGATCCGATATAGTATAGTATGATACGGAAACGCAAATTAGGACGAACGTGCGAAAACCATGATAGACATATGACTTGTAAAAGAAAAAAATTTAGTATAGCTCACGCCATTAATAAAATTGATTATTAATCAATTAATTTAAAGTAGTATATGCTATACTAAATCTGGTCCGAAAAAACTTCTTCAAATCAAAGTTATTTTTCCTACAACCTGTCTTTTATCTGACATTTTCCCTAATCCCATTAAAAAAGGGTCAATCAGATTTTATAAGTCTATATTAACTACACGTAGTATCAAAATTTAGTACGTCTGCCCGAATCTGTATTACCATACAGTACTATATACTTTATTGAAATTACCAAAAACCGTAAGTAACTAACCTAGATTTTGTACTATTTTATCGTATACTTTCTGGTAAAATTATTGAGGTTTAGAATTCGGAGGATTTATAGTTAGACGACATGTATTTCTATGCGCCTACTACAGGATTGCGATCAAAATTTTATATCTATATAGTTATCAGAAAATTAACTATAGGTGATGCGGGTATGTACGCACGTAATATTGCAATTGTCTTTCGCATTAGACGTAATCACATCGCCCTAAAGAGCTAAACGAAAACGGTTTGTTTTAACATTACCCTTTGTCATTGTGTATATATATGGAAATAATTTCTTTGTCGATTGATTCTATTAATTATTGATTCTATCGATGATACTATATCAATATATTGATATGTACGCATGTACGTATCCATGCATTTACTAATTGCATTTACTAATAAGAAAATATTCCACTATATCTGTCACTAACCTTAACTAAAACATCACGTTTTAAAAGAAAGTGACATGTAAATCAGTTCGAATAATTACAGCCAATAGAGATTAGTAAACTCCAGACACGACATGTCACTCATCACTCATTATCCATCACTTGATTCTGTGATGTTACTAAATGTGATACTACTCAAGAATTTAGAAGTCGATAAAAGGAGTAGTATAAGGCAAAGGAATAGGGTTAAATTGTTTAAAAGATGGAATCTAATTTAATAAACGATAACTATATATCTTCCTCAAATGATGATATTCGTGTTGTGATAGGATTTGGTAATTATCGCATGCTCAAGGAACAGTTTGTCTTAATTTTGCTAACATATATACGCGAAAATTTTTGTAGATTTTGGAACTACATACTCGGTAATATTATCATTAAAGATATTTTCGGTGTTTCCTAATCATATAGACTTAACAAGATAGATATCATCTGTTAGGGTTTTGCGTATTGCCACACAAAAACTAAAGAAATCATTACCAATGAAACTTGGCCTGGATTGAAGGGTTATCTAAAAACTCCAACAGTTATTAAATATACAGATGATAATTATGATGCGGTTAAATTGTGGGGATATCCTGCGTTAGCTCAGAGACCTAAAAAGAAAAAAGATGATAATGTTGACACCAGACCCATCGAACACTTTAAGCTATGTTTGAGTGATTTGCCTGCAAATCTTAAACCATCGCTTCCAATTCTTGAAGGGAGAGTCATTACTGACTATTTTCGGGAAATAGGCAATGTAATAAATTTTGCACACATTATTAATTTCAGTTTTTATATAAAATAATTTAATTTGATCTTGTAATACTAAAGTTAATGAAAGACACAGTGGAAAGGACATGGCCTTTTGTAGATTTCTTAAGCCAGGTTTTACTTGTGCTTACTATTCCGGCTGATTTCTCTGAAAAGACAAAGAGGATCATGAAGGAATGCATGTATAATGCTGACTTAATTAAAAGCAAAGATACGGAAAACGTCCAGTTTACTACAGAACGTACGAATATCTCTTTATTATGTTATTTTGATGATAAGTTATATTGATAAATTATATTATATATATCTATCTTTTTTTTCTTTTTTTTCAGCGGAAGCAGCTGCCATTTATTGCATGAAACACTGTCTAAAAGAACAATCTCTTACATCTGATGATAGTAAGCATAATTTTAGACCCTTTTAGATACTTTTTTGTGTATATATAAATGAGACGAACAAATATTAATGGCTCTGTAATTTCTTTTTTAATATTTACAAGCAATCTTTATGATAGTGGATTGCGGTGGTGGCACTGTCGATTTAACGACTAGAAAACTATTAGCAGGTGGT